AGTTTTCAAAGAAGCTTGAATGCCAGGTGAACACAAAGATGAAATTCATTCATTTAACCAAACACTGTATTGCTTGCAATATTGGGGTTCTCAAAATGAAAGAGACAAATCCCTGAGTTTCATGACTTACACTGTAATGTATCAGACTTGCCTCTCATTGTAAAAGGTAATAAGATTAAAAAAGAAGGCATTTTGAAAATGTGCCAGGCAATATAGTAGGAAAGCACTAGTGGAAACTCCAGTGCAAGGTTCTGAATCCACAAGTGGAACTGATTCACTTAGCTCACAGCTCATTTAATCCTAGGTGTAATGATTCTCTCAAGTTCTACCACACTTCTAAAAGTAAAGAAAAGAGTCAGAGGGGGTGAATGCAGGCTGATTAAGGAAAAAAGCAAGCTTCCCCTCAAAGTACAGCCCCACGGTTGGTATCCTCAAAACAAGCTTTGAATCAGTGCATTCCTCCTTCTCCATTGGGTAGCCAGTAATAGGTTACTCTAATCAACTCTTTATTCAACCCTCTTCTCTATTAGAAATCACAACCTCCCAAACCTCCTAGTAAAGCTAACTCCCATTCCTCCACAGCACTAGGCAAGTTTACAATTGCAATTGAGAAGACATGGTACAAGCCAGAGCAGAGCATCTAAATACAATATCATAAAAATTTAGGCTGGAACTGAAATAGAAATAGAGCATTCCCTATGCTGATGGGCACTTCTTCATTTTCTATTTGTAGCATAAAAATTGACAATACAATTTAAATAAAATATGTGCTTGTATTTGCTTTTGCAAGAACTTGAATTGTTCTCCATCTCTGCAAACTTGGTAAGAGTTTGTTTCATTTAAGAATAACATAAATTATGGTTCATAGGTTTTCTTAAGGTTCTAGTTATACTATTCTCAATCTCCCCTAAACCATAGAGAAGGTCCATCAAATAAAAGTGAAAATATACTTATATTGATATTTTTGAATTTCCATATACAATTCCTTCATTTGGGCAACTACCTGTACTATCATTATAAGAACTAGTATGTTAAAATATGTTCCAACTAAAGCTTGGTGGGCTTTGAATGCTCAATAAAAATCATTCTCTGGAGCTAATGAAGACAGAAACTCTGCCTGTAACAATATTAAGTTTGTTTTCTCTGGTGATTCAGAGAAGTGAGCAATCTGTCAGTAATACACTGAGTGAAATTACTTGTCTTGGAGGAATAACTGCTGACAGTCACTTTATCTCAGAGCTGACCCAAACATCTCCCTGCTGACAAACAAATTACTATGTCTAACTTTGAAAAGGTAACTAGCTTGTTTTAATTTTGATTGGTCTTTCAGAATCTCCTATACAAATACTCAGACTCATCCTTCATTGTATTTTTTAAAAGGGAAACAAAAAGTGTTTTGGAGGGATAGATTCAACTTAATAAATAAGGGGAAAAAACTACAGGAAAAAAAAATCTTATCATTTGGAGCTAAGAAAAAGACCTGCTATGCTTCTTTCCAAGGCTGTTATATGGATGAGTCTGGTAAGTGTGTCGACCCAACATTAAGACTGGCAGTGCCGCCAGTGACTGGCTGGGTGAGTGAACACGTTACCCAGACAGTATTGTAGAAATTAATTTTCTTCAATAAAGTGATTTTTAAGGCTCATATATTTCACAATCTAAACATATGTCACTGTTTCATAAACAAAATAAATGGATTAAAATAATACATTACCAATATGCTGACATGTGGAGATATTTTAATTAGAAATTCTTAAGCTGTGTGATATTTAACTGCTGTATTTGCTAAAGAGAAGCATGCATCATTTAATAGGAAGGCATGAGACAGGTGTATCACTGCATATGGCACCAGATTGTGTTTGATATAAGCTACGAGACAACATTACTCCAATTAAAAATAAAACAAAACAAAATTAAGGAACTATCATATTGAAAGTAGCCACATAATATGAATCAATACACTTAAACTACCTTTTTATTAAAAAAAAAAAGTCATTCGGAGCTTGTTTCCTGATAATTTTTTTTTCATAACCAATCTAACATCACAGCTATTTAAAGGCCATATTTACATGACTGCCTCATTATACTGGTCCCGGTTTCTTAACATTCTTTTTGACTTACTTAAGGACCAATGCTAACATAGCTGAGGAAAGCAAATGGCAACTGGTCCTGAAATTTATACGGGTGAGACAATTGGAATAAGTAGCAATATAATATATTGTTTACTGTAGCAAGTGCCCTCTGTTCTCTAAAGGTCAAAAGCATTGTAACCTTAGAGTTACAGTTTCTGATTGTTCCCAGGGTTAAATACATTATCAAAATTAATGGTTCAAGCCCCTCAACCTTCAGATATATGAGTATTCACGACTCCATCTGCTGAACTGTTCAACTAAAAATAGCATTCTTTGGCCTTCTCTCCCCTCATATTGTGCCCCTGAGGCAGAAAAAACCATGCCTTAGATCAGCACAATTGTGTAAAAAATGGTCCTTCCTGTTTCTTCATGATTTAAAGAAAGACAGACTGGAGTATGTTAATGAAAGAAGGGTCTTTACATTTTTATATTTTTCTACCTGATACAAAATTTCAGGCTTCTAGGGTATAACTGTACATGCTCAGATTTATCCAGGCTCATTAATATTAGAAATGACAACCCTTAAAGGACAAATTAACTGTAACATTAGACAGAGAAGACCAATTCTGAGCTAAGCAATATGGTTTTTTTCCTGAAGAATCTCTTTGTATAAGTAAAACCAGTCAACATAATTGTAATACTTCCTTATTATCAAGTTTATCATGATCATTATTGTTGACAGAGCTGACATTGTATCTTGTCAAAGGAGGGGAGAAAACCTTAGCTAGCAAAGAAAGAAGAGTTTTGTTGTTGTTTTTGTTTTGTTTTGTTTTTTAAGAGAGAGAGAGAGAGAATGATTTTTTTTTTTTTGTAGATGGACACAACACAATGCCTTTATTTTTATGTGGTGCTGAGAATCGAACCCAGGTCCCACGTGCAGTAGGCAAGCGCTTTACCACTGAGCCACAATCCCAGCCAAAAAGAATAGCAATAAAGCAACATATTATAAAATTTCCTACTACCTTTGCTCTTTGTCTAGCAGCATAGATATAGGCATCTACTGTGTAGATGTACTATTAAACATGCCACACTCTATCAGGAAGCTGGGGAAACCTGACTTTCAAACAAGGTCAATCTTTTCCTACTAATGTACCATACAAATAAACAGATCAAAGGTTTCCTGACATGCAGGAAAAAGGTGCAGAAAATGGAGGCAAGAGAACAGAGCAAAAATAAACAAAAACCCAGGAAACTCTCAACCCAGCCAAATATAAACTGCAAAGTTAAGAAGGCTCTTGCATTCATGGGCTCCCTATTTAGCGTAATGAAAGTAACAAGACATGTGGCATCTGCTGTACTCATACATTGGCATTGCTATGGTACTGTGCAGCCTGGCACTCACATGTATAACATCATGATTTCCAGAAACCCAACAGAAGCCAGATTTGACACATCAGGGGTCAGTGATAGCAGGGGTGGGGGGAAAACCAATAAAGCGAAAAAAATAGGGAAAAGAAGAGATTAGGTAGTTTTGAGTTTGAGCCAAGGCCACCTGCTTTCACAATCTTCAGAGCACTTAAAAGCTCCTCACACTGACTGTCCTGATTGGATAAGGTTGCAAACTGTCATCACACAGAAGAGCTAGTGCCTAATATCCAGTTATCTTCCTTTGTCTCTTCTAGTTATAGTAGATTCTCAAAATGCTCTGAAATATGGCACCCTTTCTACAGCCAGGAGAAAGCCTTAGAAAAGGAATGTCTTCTGGCTGAGTAGAAGACAGCAGATACTCTGTCAGTACATGTCTAGTCATGTCTGAGTGGAAACCCCCTATCTCCCTCTCATATCAAAGTGAAAGGGAAAAGGGAGGCAGGCAACAAGCTCTGGGACTCTTCCTTAGGCGACTTCTAAGGTGCCCTTTGATCTTGTTCTCTTCCTTCTAAGGAGTGATCACTCCTTATGATTTTCCAAAAAGATAGATACAAAGCAACAGAAAAGAAAATGTCAAAGGATTATTTTCTTTTGGGGAGTGGGGGTTAAGTTTCCCATCCTAGGTTGGAAGGTAAAATTTGGTATTAAATCGCACCCAGAAAATGAAAGTGTACTTCAAGTCTAGGGTAACCTGTTTCCATTTTTTTTTTTTTTTGGTAGTCAACAGATAGCTGGCAACCTTCCAACATCTGATAGTCCTAAAGAAGAACTCCAATGATACAGGAGAGGAATTTAGTATGAAATTAGAGCAAGGAAGACTAGATCTCTATAGCAGAAAAGGACTTAGCCGACAAAAACAACAGAAGCTTTACCAGAAGGTTAAATATGAAAGAACATTGCATAAGTTTATGGGGCAAAACACTACCAGACAGGCCCAGATACCCAACTTCATCTTGAAAAAACATTTGTTAAAAAACCTAAATCAGGAAAAGCTAGAAATCCTGGACAAGAATTCTAACTCAATGAATATAATGAATATTTTATAGTCTGGTTAAATCACTTGACCTCTCTGAACCTCAGCTATTTCATCTATACAAGCAGAATTATATTTTATCAGGTTGACAGGGTTATTAAGTGATCAAATGGAATTAAAAAAATGTTTAAGTATTTCTTAAACACTGTATAACACCATACTAAAGAAAAAGTAAAAAAGTGAGGGGAGAAAAAGGATGATTTTGAAGACACTCATAATGTGAAGAATTTGCCTGAATATACATAGCAATAAACAACCTAATTCAAGAGCATTGGTTTGGGTTTTGCCTTTTTCTCTGAAAGAAAATCAACAAGAGAAAAGCCTCTTTAGAAATGAAGAAAAGTGAAAGACTAGGGTTTAGTGTTTACCACTAAAACTCTGAGGGTTTGCCACTTTTTAAAAAGCCTAGAATATGACTAAACAATCCAGTCCCCCACCCAATGAAGCACCAAGGGAAGCATTCATACCTCAATCTGTTTGTGGTTGTAAGAGTGGCCACCACCATGTTCAAAGGTGTCCAAATTCCTGCCAAAACGGTCACTTAGGCCCTTTAGCCTTGGGTTAATTTGTGGGTGGGAGACATGACCCTTCTGTTTAGTAGCATATTCAGAAAAAAACAAAACAAAACAAAAGACAAAACATACTGTCAGAACTCATGAAACAACACATATTTCTAAATCTAGGGTATTGACGATCAAAGAATGAAAAGTAGAAGGTTTAAGACCCAGCCTCTCTGTGGTTTACAGGAACTTGGTTATATGATCAAACTGTAGTACTTGTTTTTTATTCCTGCCTCTAAATCAAGAAGATACTCCATAGCACAGGTCTAAGAAAAGGAAAAATAGATTAGAATTACCACTAGAGAGGATTCTTTTTAGATTTTTACCAGCTGCTATAGGTTCTAGTACTAGTGTAGAAGATGAATTTGCAAAAAAAGGTGGGGTTACTGTTCTGTTAGGCAAAATGTCTGGTTCTGCTAGGCAGCCCATAATGGGGAATACCTTTATGCTTCCTGGATGAGGCTTATGAAAAAACTTTTCAAGTATTGAAAAAATTATTTCTTTGCAGGCCCAATTGACAATAGTCAAAGTAATTTTTTTCTTCCTTTTCTTGTGGTATGATAGCAGCACAGATTTTATCTTCAAGCTATATAGGGATTAGCAACATAAAAATAAAAATTCCTGGTCAGATGGTGTTCCCTAGAACTAAATAAGAATCACGGTAAGTTTTATAAATAAAAACTGTCCTTAAGGAACTTTCAACTGTATGGAAACTTAAGTTACTGTCATTTTTCTAAATATTCAAATACCAAATATTGACTTTTATTTTAATGATCTTATTATTTTTATTAATTAAAATATTCATCCATATTCAAGTCAATTTCCCATTCAAATAATAGAACTAAAACAGTATAAAGGATACCTAGTCCTATTCCAGATTCTACTCTTTACCATAAATAAGATAACGTACAAATAAATGTTCTCTTAGCTTCTAAGATACACTTTCTCCCCAAGTTTGGCTTTACATATAAAGAACACTAATGGAGAACTTGATCAGACACCATGCCTAGACTTTTTGACCCTCAAAAGATAAGGATATATATATTTGCAAGCAATGTGTTTACATTTTACCAAATAATTATCAATTTGGGAATAACAACTCCTTATTCTATGAGCCACAAGAATTAAAATATCCAACACTATTCTGTTTTGATGCTTCTGTGTAAAAGCTAATATAGATATAATAAAGACACAGATGAAAAGTCAATAAGAAAAAAACCCCTAACATATCCAATAAGTACTAGCCATAAAATTATAAAACTATGAACTCATATGACAGAGAATACATAGTACTAAGTCATAACATCATTTTTCCTTTAAAAATAGTGAAACTGGTGATTTTCTTTTATTTGAAGTATGATAAGTACATAAGGTGTTAATTCTTCTGGGCTATGCTTAAAAAATTATTTAACATTCAGGCCATTATTTAGCATACAGCTGGTTAGCAGTTTTCCACTAACATACTGGCTCATATCCCACTTTTTTTTTTTTTCTGGCACTTACCTGGAGCTGTAAAGGGCTGAGTCCAGAAGCAGCAGCAGCTGCCATTGTTGATGGAATGAACTGTACGGGGTAGTTATCACCTGTCGGAAAGAACAATGCATACAGGTTTAGACAATGCATAGGGAATAGCAGCAGACAAGTACAAACATGGTCCTTGGATTGCCTGAGCTCTACAACATCGCTCTAAGCCCAAACATCTGCAGAAACAAAAGGCTTAGTTGGGCACAGACTTGCAGTGCTGCCTTGGAACTTTTTGTTAACAGATAGCTGGTAGGCAAACTGGCAAAACATGAATGTGATGTTAAAAAAATTTAATGTGCAATTCAAGCATGTTCTCTCCATTACAAATCTTGTAATACATCATTTTTTTTAAGAGTAAAAAAAATATCTTAAAGCCAGGCTGACACTTAGTACACTGTGAAACCACTGAAGCTTTTCTATTAGAACAACAAAAAGTTTTGGCTTGGTAGGCAACACAGAGAATTAGAGTCCAAAAACCACTATCAGTTATTGACTGGCCATAATTCTCAACTTTATTTTATAAAAAAAAAAGAAAATATTTTTAAAATATAACCTCTTGAATATTTTACATATATATAAATATTTTAAATATATATATGTTGTGTGTGTGTGTGTGTGTGTGTGTGTGTGTGTGTTTGGTTTAATCTCTAGTACTGTACTAGTGGAAACAAGTACAAAAATCATGCATGTAAAGCACTGATTAAACACTCTTTGATAATGATTTTATTAAATAACCACCATTTTACATGGGATACCTACACTAAAAGCCTGGTAGAGATTGAGCATGTTTTAGCTAAGATCAATGTCACATCTCAATGTGTTTGTAACTCCAGCCATTCTAAATAGAGGACCTAAGTACTTTTTGTGACCTAAGAACTGAGGATGTGGCCAATAATCCAAAAGCCAAGAAGGAGTGATGAAGAACATACTGTGACAATGGTAACTGAACTAAAAATTAATATTTGTGGATAAATTACACAATTCCAATGATTAAATGTAGTGTCACTTTGGCTTCACTACTTATTTAAAGTCAGTGTTATGTACTATCTCTAGGCTATATTTTAATAGGCTGTTCCTCCACACATTTTTGACATTTATAATTATGCTATTTTGCATGAACTTTTCTACACCGAAAGCTGAATGTAATAATGAAGAGACATTATATAAAGAATCACAGTAACAAAGGTAGTCAACTGAAAGCAATATAACCTTTTTTTTTTTTTTTTCTACATGGACACTAATACCTGGAGCCTTCCCAGTGTCCCTGGTTTCTTGGAACTCATCCCCTTGCCACATGAAGTGCTACTCAGCTGGCCCAATGTAAATGTTAAGTCGCTTTCACTTTTAACAAATTGTTAGCTTCTAATCTACACAGTCTCTTTGCATCATATCCATAATACCTCATCAGACCATTGAGCACAGTGTGTGCCTGTACACAGTCCAGTAACAATTGGCTTCTGATTGCATATGGAGTGCCGCTACAATGCATTCACTAACACTACATTGTGCTGATCTCCTATGGAGTAATGTTCAAAATATCTGATCTTGTTTTTCCCCTTCCATGAGGTTGATTTTAGTTTGCAGTACTATATGAGCTTTTTAAAAAAGATAACTAGGCCAAATTATTTTTTATAGTAAATGACTGTCACTTTATGCTTAAATAATTCTACTGATCTTCTTGATATTTAAACTAAACTATCTGAAGAAAAAAAAATCCTAATCTAAGTCAAATAGTATTTCCTTGGTTGATATCATACCAAGTTAAAAAAAATCACAAAACGATGCTGAATTAATGATGTTTCAAAAATAGGGGGAAAAAACTCACCATTCCAACCATCAACATGGACTGCCTTCCAGAACATTTTAGAGCTGTTCTTTCTTTAAATATCATGCATTATTCATAATAACTCTAAACCACAACCCCCCTCCCTGTAAAGTTTAATACCAGTTGCTTTATTTGTACTAAAACATTTTTCATGTCAAACATATTTAAAAAAATCAAACTCTAAAAGAATTCCCCGGGGCACTCCTTTTTTCATAGCTGTCATGCTTCTATGCTATGAAATAGCTGATTTTTTAATATAGTTTTTGGCTTGCCGGTTAATTTATTACTATCTCTACCACACCCTGTAGTACTCTCCAGCTCACCTGCTAGCTACAAACAGCTTTCTTCCCACTGTTGACAAGCATATTTTAAAAACATTTTTAACCTTTCTGCGGGTTTGAATCTACCTATCTGAATAGATCTTTAGAAAGCTATTCCTCTGGCACATACCATTGTATCAATAATAAAAGTAAAAATGATCACATTAGAGCAGCAGAGTATGTCACAGAAGATGATTAGAAGAGAGGGAAAAAAGGAAAAGGCAGGAGAGGGAGATGAGGGTTGAAAATGGGAGAGAAAAATCTCAGAGGGGGAGTGACTTAGGGTAATGTAAGTTTAGTTTTTTTTGTTATTTGTTTTGTTTTGTTTTTAATAATGAAGTTTCATGCGCTTCCTCCTACCACCTCTAATTTTCTCTGTGTAAGAGTTGACTGAAAAAAGTTCTCAGTGGTTGACTTGGCAAAGAATCAGTCAACATGTTGCAGCAATTTTTTTTTTTCAAATTTGTCTCTGGATTTGAAATGCTTGCATGAGGACCTATTCTTTTAAAATGTGCACAAAGAAAGATGAAGCCTGTTGGAACAGGTTGACTTTAGGCGCTATGGTAATCTGGCCCTTGCTACCTCTAGTATAAGAAGACAACCTCCAAATACCATAAATACGAGAAATAATACCCATTCTGTAAATTCAACTTTCCAGGCTTTTAGATATTCCAGTTGACTTTTTATCTGAAGGTTACAGACCAAATACAAAAACAGGATTAAAGGCCTATGGAAAATTTGCTTGACATTAATTTTACTTGTTAGAATAGGCAACATTCTTTTGGAATCAAAGCAGCTCCACAGCAAGAGTCCCTAAATGAGAAGAAGTAAATTCTTAAAATTTTGGAGTACAGAAATGAAGCCAAAAGTTAGTAGGACTTAATGACAGAGGAAAGAAAGCTTGTACGAAGAACCTAGGACCCATTAGACTCAGGGTACCTCCCAGAAGAAAACTCCTAATGTGTGTAATTCAGATATAAATTCTGTTTTTTAAAGAGCAAAAAATCCTATGGGTAAAATTCTGTCCATTCACTTTCATACTTCAGAAAAACAAATGATCAGAGACTTGTAGTATCTTGAGATATTAATTTCAGATAGTAATACATTGCAGAAGTCATTTAGAGATATTGTGAGGAGTATAAGAGAAAACAAAAGAAGACAAGATAAAACAAAACAAGAGCACAGAACAAAGAGACAGGACTCATGAATTCCTCAGTAACTGCACTTAAATGGGAATCCTGCCTCATACCTCATATTCCACCCTCCAAATGTGCTATCCATCTCTGTCTCACAAATTATTGTGATGGCATCATAGGATGATGACAAGTTGCCCACCTAGCACCCCACTTTTAAGAGCTATTGCCATTCTTGGTACAATGTGAAAATACCTGAATCACAACTACTGATACAAACTTGGATATATCATTTTGCATGGGTCTTGCCTAGAGGGATGTATTCAGTATAGCAAACTATTACAACTCCTTCGTACTCTGAGGTAATATCATAAGTCTGAATATATCTTTGTACAACATAACACTGCAGCAAAACTTCAAAAAACAGAACCTTCAATTTGTTCTGAAGACAAATGGATAAAAAAATTAGAAAGGATTAGGATGTATATTTCTGAGATCACCATGCTCTTATTTCTGTGGCTAAATTTGTACTTTTCTATTCATTGGAGAAAATCAATGATGAAAAGATTCTTGATCCCAGGATTTTTTCTAAGTTCATCAGCATTGTTTTGCATACCTTTGAAGAGACTCAGAACCAGGGATCTATCTTAATTCCTTCATTCATTTCATAGCTTCATACAGAATTTTGAGTATCTATGGAATTTGTCACAATGGCAATTAAATAAGTGAATATGAATGAACTGATATAAATTCACCCCCATTATAAGATATCAGCTGAAAAAACAAACAAACAAAAACAACTCAAAGTACATGCCTTAATGAGAGCTCATCAATGATATGGCCTCCATATAGGAAGAGGACACAGAATAATGCCTGATGTTCATAAAACTAAGTCTCTTCTTTCTGGACCTCAACACTCATTTAAAACTGAGGGTGCTAATCAAAGAATTCCAATAATACTTTCACTGCAAGTAGATAGATTTAATTAATCAAATATTCCAATAGTAGTTACATACCTCCACTTTGAAATACTCTGGAAGAGAGGAATGGCTGGCTGTATGTCATTTAGATAAACTTACAGATAAAAATCACATTTTTATAGCAAAAAGTGTCAGATATTCTGAAACCATGTTCCCAAGAGTGTGAAATATCAAATTGGAGAACTTTAGTCTGAATTCTGTCTCCGCTATTTCCTAGATGTTAAGTCCTTGGAAAAGTTAACATTTTTGGATTTTAGTTTCTTTTCTCCTAATGAAATAGAGACAATACCACTTATTACCACATGTATCTTAAAGTTGTTATAAGAGTTAAAAGGGAATACACACACGGGGGGATATCTTAACAAATAAAAGGTGCTTAATAAAAGAAGCATTAAATAACAAGTGTAACATCTATATACCAACCAATTATACAATTTAGATGAAATGGAAAAATTTCTTGAAACAAAGTAACTGATTCAAGTTGAAATAGAAAATTTCAAAACCTATAACAAGAGGTTGAATTAGCAATCAAAACCTCCAACAGAGAGGAGGGAAGATGGCGGCGAGGGGAGTGCATTCCCCCCGTGTGCTGCTTCACTGTGTGGGAGTATGACAAGTCAGGACGGCTAAAGGATATCTTGTTAGGAATTTCCAGCAATAGTGGGGTGCGCCGGAACCTGGAGGAAGGATTTCCATCGCATGAGGATCGGCTACGGGGACTCAAACGCGAGAGGTTTGTCGCACGGAGGGTAATACTGCTTATTCAGCAAATCGCCCCGCGGCTAGAGTCTGCAGCGCGCGCTGGGATAGAGACGCAGGGTTACAGCGCTGCAGTTTCTGCCAGACGCGCAAGCACCGCACTCAGGGCTGAATTCTGGGTTCGAGACGGGGAAGGAAGCGGTCCATCTCGGTTCTCCACACCGGTCAGACCACAGAGGAGGCCAGCAGCCACCATGTTGGTAAACTGACGTCACCACACCGGTTTTTGACTGACCGCAGCTCATTCAGCCATAGAACAGGTAATTTCAGGCTGCAATTCGCCTGCGGCTTGCAGACAGATTGCTAGGGTTCAGCGCCTGGGGGCTTCTTAAAATCTGATCTTATCGGAGTGAACACGGAGCGCGGGGCGGCCAAGTCCCGGCTCCCGGAACCGTCCCGGAACCGTCCCGGAACCGCCCTGGCTCCGGGCTGCGGAGCCTGCGGAGGCTGCTTCTTGGACCCTGCTAATATCAGAGCAAACACGAAACACCAAGAAGCCGAATTCCAGCTCCCGGAACTGAGCCCGCGGGGACTGCTTCTTGGAGCTTACACTTATAGGAGCTTACACCGAGCACAGAGCGGCCGAGTTCCGGCTCCCGGAACCGTCCCGGAACCGCCCTGGCTCAGGGCTGCGGAGCCCGCGGAGGCTGCTTCTTGGACCCTGCTACTATCAGAGCATACACCAAACACTAAGCGGCCGAATTCCGGCTCCCGGAACTGAGCCCGCGGGGGCTGCTTCTTGGAGCCTACACTTATAGGAGCTTACACCGAGCACGGAGCGGCCGAGTTCCGGCTCCCGGAACTTCCCTGGACCGGGGCTAGGAGCCCGCGGAAACTGTGTCTCGGTCCGGGTCCTGCTGAGGGCAGGTCAGGACTCACCCATTGCTTGGGTTGCCTGGCAAGGGGAACGAAATGCTGCCATTCGCATAGGATACCAACATGGCAGAGATCTGATGTCAGCAGAAAGCGGTGGAGGAGAGATCTTCATCAATACCAGCGGTGACATAAGCAGTTGGTCTTCTGGTAAGGGGGGTGAGGCTCAGTCACCCGAGTCTCCTCAATTTGTCCTCGAGCCGGAGGGAAGGAGCCGGGCCGCCGCCAGCCCCCGGAGCAGGCCCAGCGGCTCGCCAGCGTGGTGACCGCGTGACCCCAATTGGAGAGGGGGCGGAGCGGAGCCGCCACCCACACCCGCCAGGTGGGCAGACCCACGACCCAGTAGTACATGGGCGTGGTAGGAGGGGCAGGGCAGAGCCGCCCTTCGCGCTTGCAAGGTAAACAGACCTGTGACAGCCTGGCGGGTCAGGCCCAGTGGCCTGCCAGTGTGGTACACACGTCACCCCAACTCGAGTAGGGGCAGAGCAGATCCTTATCCCACGCCCGGATCAGGCCCTGCCGGTGTGGTGGTCACGTGACCCCAATTGGAGTGGGGGTGGAGCGGAACCGCCACCCGTGCCCGCAGGGTGAGCAGACCAGTGATCAACCTGCAGATCAGGCCCAGGGGTCCGCAGGCGTGGTAGGAGGGGCAGGGCAGATCCGCCGCCCGCGCCTTCAAGGTAGGCAGACCTACAACAGACCGGCGGATCAGGCCCAGGAGCCTGCCGGCGGGGTACAAACACCACCCTAATTGGAGTAGTGACAGAGCAGAGTCGCCTCCCTTGCCAGGAACAGACCCAGCATCCTGCAGGCGGGGTAGTCACGACACCCCAATTGGAGTAGGGGCAAAGCAGAGCCTCCACTCGTGCCCGAAAGGTGGGCAGATCTGCGACCGACCAGCAGGACAGGCCCAGTGGCCTGCTGGTACGACAGACACGTCACCCCAATTGGAGTAGGGGCAGAACAGAGCCGCCACCAGCTCCCAGAACAGGCCCAGTGACCTGCCGGCGTGGTAGCCACGACACCCCAATTGGAATAAGGAGAGAGCAGAGCCGCCGCCCGCACCTGCAGGAAAGATACGCAAGCAGTATGAAAAGACAAGGAAAGAAAGGACCACAAGCAATGCAGGTCAACGCAACTTTAGAAGAGGTAACAGCTGCAGCAGATGGAATGTCAGATAAAGAATTCAGGATATACATGCTTCAGATGATCTGGAGTATCAAGGAAGACATTAAACAGCAAAAGCAGACAATGAAAGATCACTTCGACAACGAATTACGCAAACAAATCCAGGAAGCAAAGGATCAACTATACAGGGAGATAGAGGTTATAAAAAACAAGCAATCAGAAATCCTAGAAATGCAGGAAGCAATAAACCAACTTAAAAACTCAATGGAGAATACTACCAACAGAGTAGAACACTTAGAAGATAGAACATCAGACAATGAAGACAAAGTATTTCAACTGGAAAAGAACATAGACAGCTCAGCAAGACTGTTAAGAAACCATGAGCAGAACATCCAAGAAATATGGGATAACATTAAGAGACCAAACTTAAGAGTCATTGGGATACAGGAAGGTACAGAGCTCCAAACCAAAGGAATGAGCAGTCTATTCCATGAAATAATACAAGAAAACTTCCCAGACTTGAAGAATGAGACAGAATCCCAAATCCTAGAAGCCTACAGGACGCCGAATGTGCAAAATCATAAGAGATCCACACCTAGACACATTATAATGAAGATGCCCAACATACAGAATAAGGAGAGAATTTTAAAAGCTACAAGAGAAAGGAAGCAGATTACATTTAGGGGCAAGCCAATCAGGATAACAGCTGATCTTTCAACACAGACTCTGAAAGCTAGAAGATCCTGGAATAACATATTTCAAACACTGAAAGATAATGGGTTCCAACCAAGAATTGTGTATCCAGCGAAATTAAGCTTCAGGATGGAGGATGAAATTAAAACCTTCCACGATAAACAAAAGTTTAAAGAATTCGCAGCTAGAAAACCATCTCTTCAAAACATCCTAGCCAAAGTATTACAGGAAGAGGAAATGGAAAATAACAATGAAAACCAACAGTGGGAGGTAGGACAGTAAAGGGGGGGGGGGAAACAATCAAAGAGGAAAACAAACAATGTTTAGTAACAGAAATAAACAAATATGGCTGGAAGAACAACCCATATCTCAATAATAACCCTAAATGTTAATGGCTTAAACTCACCAATTAAGAGACACAGGCTAGTAGAATGGATCACAAAACAAGACCCAACAATATGCTGCCTACAGGAGACGCATTTGATAGGAAAAGACATACATAGGCTGAAGGTGAAAGGTTGGGAAAAATCATATCACTCATATGGACTTCGGAAACAAGCAGGCGTGTCCATACTCATATCAAATAAAATAGATTTCAAGCCAAAGTTAATCAAAAGAGATAAAGAGGGACACTACATACTGCTTAAGGGAACCATACACCAACAAGACATAACAATCATAAATATTTATGCCCCAAACAATGGTGCAGCTATGTTCGTCAAACAAACTCTTCTCAAGTTCAAGAGTCTAATAGACCACCACACCATAATCATGGGAGACTTCAACACACCTCTCTCGCCACTGGACAGATCTTCCAAACAAAAGTTGAATAAGGAAACTATAGAACTCAATAACACTATTAATAACCTAGACCTAATTGACATATATAGAGTATACCACCCAACATCAAGCAGTTACACTTTTTTCTCAGCAGCACATGGATCCTTCTCAAAAATAGATCATATATTATGTCACAGGGCAACTCTTAGACAATATAAAGGAGTAGAGATATTACCATGCATCTTATCTGATCATAATGGAATGAAACTGAAAATCAACGATAAAAGAAGGAAGGAAAAAGCATACATCAATTGGAGAATGAACAATAGGTCACTGAATGATCAATGGGTTATAGAAGACATCAAGGAGGAAATTAAAAAATTCTTAGAGATAAATGAAAACACAGACACAACATATCGGAATCTATGGGACACATTGAAAGCAGTTCTAAGAGGAAAATTCATTGCTTGGAGTTCATTCCTTAAAAAAAGAAAAAACCAACAAATAAATGATCTCATACTTCATCTCAAAATCCTAGAAAAAGAAGAGCAAAACAACAGCAAAAGAAGTAGAAGGCAAGAAATAATTAAAATCAGAGCTGAAATTAATGAAATCGAAACAAAAGAAACAATTGAAAAAATTGACAAAACTAAAAGTTGGTTCTTTGAAAAAATAAACAAAATCGACAGACCCTTAGCGATGCTAGTGAAGAGAAGAAGAGAGAGAACTCAAATTACTAGCATACGGGATGAAAAAGGCAATATCACAACAGACACTTCAGAAATACAGAAGATAATCAAAAATTATTTTGAATCCTTATACTCCAATAAATTAGAAGATAGTGAAGGCATAGATAAATTTCTTAAGTCATATGATCTGCCCAGATTGAGTCAGGAGGATATAGAAAACCTAAACAGACCAATATCAATTGAGGAGATAGAAGAAACCATCAAAAGACTACCAACTAAGAAAAGCCCAGGTCCCGATGGGTATACAGCAGAATTTTACAAAACCTTTAAAGAAGAACTAATACCAATACTTTTCAAGCTACTTCAGGAAATAGAAAAGGAGGGAGAACTTCCAAATTCATTCTATGAGGCCAACATCACCCTGATACCTAAACCAGACAAAGACACTTCAAAGAAAGAAAACTACAGACCAATATCTCTAATGAACCTAGATGCAAAAATCCTCAATAAAATTCTGGCGAATCGGATACAAAAACATATCAAAAAAATTGTACACCATGATCAAGTAGGATTCATCCCTGGGATGCAAGGCTGGTTCAATATACGGAAATCAATAAATGTTATTCACCACATCAATAGACTTAAAAATAAGAACCATATGATCATCTCGATAGATGCGGAAAAAGCATTTGACAAAGTACAGCATCCCTTTATGTTCAAAACTCTAGAAAAACTAGGGATAACAGGAACATACCTCAATATTGTAAAAGCAATCTATGCTAAGCCTCAGGCTAGCATTATTCTGAATGGAGAAAAACTGAAGGCATTCCCTCTAAAATCTGGAACAAGACAGGGATGCCCTCTCTCTCCACTTCTCTTCAACATAGTTCTCGAAACACTGGCCAGAGCAATTAGACAGACGAAAGAAATTAAAGGCATAAAAATAGGAAAAGAAGAAATTAAATTATCACTATTTGCAGATGATATGATTCTATATCTAGCAGACCCAAAAGGCTCTACAAAGAAACTATTAGAGCTAATAAATGAATTCAGCAAAGTGGCAGGATTTAAAATCAACACGCATAAATCAAAGGCATTCCTGTATATCAGCGACAAATCCTCTGAAATGGAAATGAGGACAACCACTCCATTCAAAATATCTTCAAAAAAAATAAAATACTTGGGAATCAACCTAACAAAAGAGGTGAAAGACTTATACAATGAAAACTACAGAACCCTAAAGAGAGAAATAGAAGAAGATCTTAGAAGATGGAAAAATATACCCTGTTCATGGATAGGCAGAACTAACATCATCAAAATGGCGATATTACCAAAAGTTCTCTATAGGTTTAATGCAATGCCAATCAAAATCCCAATGGCATTTCTTGTAGAAATAGAGAAAGCAATCATGAAATTCATATGGAAAAATAAAAGACCCAGAATAGCAAAAACAATGCTAAGCAAGAAGTGTGAATCAGGCGGTATAGCGATACCAGACTTCAAACTATACTACAGAGCAATAGTAACAAAAACAGCATGGTACTGGTACCAAAACAGGCGTGTGGACCAATGGTACAGAATAGAGGACACAGAAACCAATCCACAAAACTACAACTATCTTATATTTGATAAAGGGGCTAAAAGCATGCAATGGAGGAAGGATAGCATCTTCAACAAATGGTGCTGGGAAAACTGGAAATCCATATGCAACAAAATGAAACTGAATCCCTTTCTCTCGCCATGCACAAAAGTGAATTCAAAATGGATCAAGGAACTTGATATCAAATCAGAGACGCGCCGTCTGATAGAAGAAAAAGTTGGCTACGATCTACAGTCGGTGGGGTCGGGCTCCAAATTCCTCAGTAGGACACCCATAGCACAAAAGTTAATAACTAGAATCAACAAATGGGACTTACTCAAACTAAGAAGTTTTTTCTCAGCTAAAGAAACAATAAGAGAGGTAAATAGGGAGCCTACATCCTGGGAACAAATCTTTACTCCTCACACTTCAGATAGAGCCCTAATATCCAGAGTATACAAAGAACTCAAAAAATTAGACAATAAGAGAACAAACAACCCAATCAACAAATGGGCCAAGGACCTGAACAGACACTTCACAGAGGAGGACATACAGTCAATCAACAAGTACATGAAAAAATGCTCACCATCTCTAGCTGTCAGAGAAATGCAAATCAAAACCACCCTAAGATACCATCTCACTCCAGTAAGATTGGCAGCCATTAGGAAGTCAAACAACAACAAGTGCTGGCGAGGATGTGGGGAAAAGGGTACACTTGTACATTGCTGGTGGGACTGCAGATTGGTGCAGCCAATTTGGAAAGCAGTATGGAGATTTCTTGGAAAGCTGGGAATGGAGCCACCATTTGACCCAGCTATTCCCCTTCTTGGTCTATTCCCTAAAGACCTAAAAAGAGCATGCTACAGGGACACTGCTACATCGATGTTCATAGCAGCACAGTTCACAATAGCAAGACTGTGGAACCAACCTAGATGCCCTTCAATAGACGAATGGATAAAAAAAATGTGGCATTTATACACAATGGAGTATTACTCTGCATTAAAAAATGACAAAATCATAGAATTTACAGGGAAATGGATGGCATTAGAGCAGATTATGCTAAGTGAAGCTAGCCAATCCCTAAAAAACAAATGCCAAATGTCTTCTTTGATATAAGGAAAGTAACTAAGAACAGAGTAGGGACGAAGAACAGGAGAAGAAGATTAACATTTAACAGGGATGAGAGGTGGGAGGGAAAGGGAGAGAGAAGGTAAATTGCAAGGTAATGGAAGGAGACCCTCAGGGTTATACAGTGGAGGGGGTAGAGAGAGAGGAGGGGAGGGGAGGGGAGAGGTGGGGAGGGGGGAGGGTGGATGATGGGAAAGGCAGCGGAGCACAATAGACACTAGTATGGCAATTTGTAAATCAATGGATGTGTAACTGATGTGAATCTGCAATCTGTGTATGGGGTGAAGGTGGGAGTTCATAACCCACTAGAATCAAAGTGTGGAATATGATATGTCAAGAAATTTGTAATGTTTTGAACAACCCACAATAAAAAATTAAAAAAAAAAAAAAAACCTCCAACAAAGAAAAGCTCTGACCTAGACGGCTTCACCATGAACTCTGCTAAACTTTTAAAGAATTAACATCGATTCTTCTCAAACTCTTATGAAAAATACAAGAGGAGGGAACATTTCCTTATTTGCTCTCTGAGGCCAAAATTACCAAGCAGGAAATATATCATGGAAAAAGAAAAATAAAGACCAACATCTCTTTGAAATAAATGTAAAATCCTCAACAAAATCAAATCAAATCCAATGGTATATTAAAAGTATTATTCATCATAACAAGTAGTATTTATCCCAGGCTTGAGAGAATAGTTCAACATAAGCAAATTGATCTAATATATCACAGTAATAGAAAAAAAGGGAATAAAACCACATGATCATTTCAACTGATGCAGAAAAGGCATTTGACAAAACTTCAATACTCTTTCACGATAAAAACTCTCATAAACTATGAATAGAAAGAAAATTTCTCAGGATTATCAAGGGTTAAAACTCATGACTAACATCATACCCAATGGTAGAGGACTAAAAACTTTTCCTCTTAGATCAGGAACAAGACGAAAATGCACACTTTCACTGCTGATATTCAATGTTATGCTGGAAGTTCTATCCAGTGCTTAGACAAGAAAGGAAATAAAATGCATCAACATTGGTAAGAAAGTGGTAAGACTGTTACTATTTGCAAGTGATATATAGAAAGTTGCAGAACTATATACAGAAAAAAATGTAATTCCATGAGAAAGATGTTGGAGTTAATAAACAAATTCAGTAAACTTGCAGGGTTTAAGATTAACACACAAAATCAGTTACATTTCAATATACCAGCAATAAACAATCCAAAAGGAAATGAAAAAAGAAATTTCATTTATAATAGTATAGAAAAAATTTTAATGGTATATAGAAGAATTAAATATTTAAGAACAAATCCAACTAAGGAGGTGAAAGTCTTCTTATGATCAAATCTAAAAACATTGCTAAAAGAAATAGAGAAGACACGAAACAACCTAAGTATACACCAACTGATGAATGCATAAAGAAAATGTGGTACATTGATAGAATGCAACATTATTCGTCCATTAAAAAAAAATGAAATTCTATCCTTTGTGACAACATGCATGGAACTGAAGGTCATTATGTTAAGCAAAATAAGCCAGACATAGAAAAACAAGTACTACATAATCTCACTCATATCTGGAATCTTAAAAAGTTGATCTTATAGAAGTTGAGTAGAGAATGGTGATTACCAGAGGCTAGGGAAATTAGGGGGAGGAAGACATGGAGAAAGGTTGATCAATAGGCACTAAATTATAATTAGGAGAAATAAGATCTGGTATTTTATTGCACAGGAAAGTGACTAGAGAATGATAATGTACTGCATACTTATAAATTTAGAAGAAATGATTTTAAATGTTTTATCATAAAGAAATTATACATATTTCAAAAAACAGATGTTTGTCCTAACTGAACATTATACATTATATACATGTATCTAAACATAATAAGAATGTAACCCACAAATACCCACAATTTTACATGTTAATTAATTTTTATTTTTTAAAGGAATTAAATAAGATGAAAATAAATGGAAAGAGGCATCTGTGTTCATGGATATGAAGACTTGTTAAAATGTCAATAATACCCAAAGAAATCTATAGATTCAGTGCAATCCCTATCAAAATTACAACATTTTTCACATAGATGGAAAAGTCAGTTCTCTAATATTTCATATGGAATTATAAAGGGCCCCAAGAGCTAAAACTTACTACCAAGCTACAGTTATTAAAACAGTATGGCATAGGCATAATAAAAGATTTATAAAACAACTGAATAGACAGCCCAGAAATAAATTCTCCCATATGCGGTCAATACATTTTTTAAAAGGGTACCAGTACTACTAAATGGGGAAAAATAAGACTTTTCAATAAATTGTGCAGGGAAAACCATATATCCACATGAGAAAGATACATATCCAATTGGTATATTTTATATAGGGTTTTACCTTACATTAAATACATAAATTAATTCCAATGGGTCAAAGGTTTAAATTAAGGAGATTAAACCATAAAATATTTAGAAGAAAACATAGTGGTAAATTTTCATGGCACTGAATTTGGCAATGATTTCATTAATATGACACCAAGAGCTTAGGCAACAATAAGGAGATAAATTAGATTTCATCAAAATTAAGAACTTTTGTGCAACAGATACTATAAAAAAACTAAAAGATAATCTACATAATGAATAAAATATTTGCAAATAATATATCTGAAGGGTGTTAATATACATTATATATAAAGAATTAAAACTCAATGACAAAAAAAAACTACCCAATTAAAAAATTGGCAAAGTATATAAAAACACACTTTTCCAAAAAAGATATACAAATGGTCAATAAGCAACTAAACAGATGTTCAACATCATAAATCACTGGGAATTGTAAATCAAAACCACAAAGAAATAACATTTCTTTCACACCTCCTAGAAGGACTAAAATGAAATGTATTTTTAAAAAATGGAAAGTAAGTATTGGCATGAATATTGGGAAATTAGAACACATTTACACTGCTGATGAAATGTACAATGGCATGATTCTTGTGGAAAACAGTTTTACAGTTTCTCAAAAGATTAGAAATAGAACTACATATGACCTGTCAAGTCTACCCTTAGGTATACATCTAAAAAAACTAAAAGCAGGGACTCAAACAGATATTTGTGTATCAATGATTAAAGAAGTATTATTTGCAATAGTAAGAAGTTAAAAACTACTTAAGCGTGTCCCCTAACCAATGAATGGGTAAACAAGATATGATATACACATACAATAGAATATTATTCAGCCATTAAAAGTAATTAAATATTGATGTATGCTACTATATATGGCTGGACCTTAAAAACCTTATGCTTACAGAAATAATCCAGATACAGAAGGACAAATTTTATATTATTCCATTCATATGAAGATCTAGAATAGGCAAATTCATAAAGAAAGATAGTAAGACCATAGTTACCAGAGGCTAGGGGAAATAGGGATAGTTGTCATTTAATGACTGTGCATTTTGGGGAGGGGGATGTGAAAAAGTCTCAGGTATAGACAGAAGTAACAGTTATACAACATTGCAAATAATGCTGAGTTGCATAATTACAAATAGCCAAAATGATAAGTATTGTGTATATTTCACCACAATAATAATAAAAAGAAGCATTTGACATACTGTAAAATTGTGAGGTTTGTCAAAATGGTCATTGAGCAGAGTGATACTGTTAGATTTAATGTTCAACGTTGGACCACATTTATAATGGATAATGACTCAATTTAACAGACCAATTAAATTTACTCAGTATCAAGGTCAGATTTTACCTGAAGGTGAGTACTATATAATTTTCAAAGAACTTTCATGTATTTAACCAAATTTAATTTTCAAACCTACAGTGAGTAATGGAGCAAACCATGACTTTTTCAGATGACATAAAAGCAAGGTTCAGCATAGCTAAATAACATGTTCAAATACAAATAAAAGAATCCATTGAAATATTTAGCACAGTGTTTGGCACAGTAATCATTCAGTAAGCTTTAGCTATTGTCATTTATGGACAGTGAGTAAGTGGAGGATTCAGAAGCAGGTGAATACCCTACTCCAAGGGTCTCCTAGGAAATTTCAAGGGTGCTGCTCAGCAGTGATCACTTAAACACTTCCAACTACACAAAGCAACGGGTCAGCTGCATCATCCCTCGAGCACCAAGGAGGGAGGCTATTTGAGGTTTTTACTTTTCAGGCAAGTTGACCTTGATCTGATATACTCATTAGCAACAGTGAAAGATGTTTCATCTTTTAATTTTCTCAAACATCAATGCTTAAATGTGTTTCTCTTACCCTTGATTGCTGCATCTTTTAGTATCACACCATAAAAGAGCAAAGCAACTAAAAGTCTGGTTTATGTTCCTGGCCCTGATGATAAGTTCTCATCTAAAAGGATGCCTCTAATTATAGAACCAATATAAGAATAAAAATTTAGGAATTAAAACAATGAAGCTATTTCTAGAGAGATCAATCTGAAAAATGCTCCTCGGAAACTGCCCAATGCCTTTGGGCAGCATGCCTGCTCAGCAGTACATAGAGGAGGAAGAGCTTATGTGGTGTTCATTGAATACTGAAACCCTGAAATTCCCAGAACTATGGGTCAAATCACCTGGAGTGAGTTGGGAGTGGAGACTCAGTTCCCCAAATTAATTTTTCACATTGCCATAAACTGCAATTAGAAAAATTCAACTTTAATAGTTAATGTCACATGAAAGTGGTCCTTGCTCTTGAAAATCAAGAAAATTATTCAAGCAGCTGAATCAATACATTCAATTCACAAACATTGTAGAATTGTTTCGGGTTCTGGGAAGATGGAAAGGGAGCAAAAGGAGGCAAATTTATTTTTTATTTAGAAAGATCAAATTAGAGCTTGTTCGTCCTCTTACACAGGATACTAAAATATAAATTCATGACACTATTTCCAGGTTTTTATATATGTGTCTAGGCTTCTCTCTTTTAAAAAATAGCCATTGTCTCATATACATTTCAAGTGAAGTAGTTAAGCTCAGTCTAGGGCTAAAAAAGTTTGCTTGTCCAGACTCTTAATAGTTGTCCCCAACTCATGTGAATGATAAAAACTCTGCATAGACTGTCTCCTGAGTTTATAATTTCTCTACTAATAGCATAAGAATGTATGTTCTTTAAATATGACTTTTATATACAAGAAATCTTAGAGTAGCCAAAATTTAGAGTTTGGCTTAAATTCTTTGATATAACTTAAGGGTTACCAGAGAATACCTCATTACCAGCCTTGTTTGTGACCAAAAATTTTTCCATATATCCAAATCTAAGTCCTGCCTAACTCAACAGGTATAGTCAGCATAATCAAACACAGCTTTGTTATCTTAGGACACTACTCTGAGAAGTATTTTGTTCAACAAAAGCAACTAATTCCTGCACAGTATTGTCCTGGTCTCTAAATTCTTCTCAGTTATGTGTTATGATCTCATGGATTCTATTTGAAAAGACTTACTTTTAAATGATCTAAATTTGTTGGATATAGAGCAATATCTTCTCTCACAAAAACAATACCACATTTTCAACAAAATTAGATAACATGGTATAAGATATCTATAGGTAGCAGAAAATAAAGCCTATATTTGATTTTGAAATGTGGTTAATTTTAACTTTATAAACACTGAAATCAAATATACAATTTCCACAGTATATCTAAAAAGTTTCTGGGGACTGGTATTGGGATGGCAACTGAGATTCAGTATAAGAGAGCAAATTTAGTTTATATCAATGTTCCATAGAAATAAAGATGAAGAAATAATCAAAACAACTTATAGAGATCAGAAAAGGACTGAACCAAAGCACTGATGAAAGCATATTCTCCAACAAAATATACTTCTGTCCTTAATATAGATGCCAATTTAAGGGGGAGTATGACTCGCTGTAAAATTTCTGCTCTAGAAAAATGAATTTTTAACAATTTAAATGGCACCATTTTCCTTCACTCAGGCATCCAAAAACCTTTTGGGAATATAGACTTAGTATCCTTTATCCAAAATGCTTGGGACTAGACGTATGCAGATGTGGGGGTTTTTCCAATATTGGAACACTGATTAAAGACTTTACTAGTTGAGAATCTCTAAGATGAAAAAAAATCTAAAATCTGAAATAATTCCAAATCCAAGGTGCCAAAAACATGCATTGGAGAAAAGATAGCCTCTTCAACAAATGGTGCTGGGACAACTGGAAATCCATATGCAACAAGTTGAAATTAAATATCTCTCACCATGCACAAAACTCAACTCAAAATGGATCAAGGACATAGGAATAAAACCAGAGACCCTACATCTAATAGAAGAAAAAGAAGTTCCTAATAAGACTCCTTTGGTACAAGAATTAAAATCAACAATCAATAAATGGGATGGACTAAAACTTAAAAGTTTCTTCTCAGCAAAAGAAACAATCTGTAAGGTGAATAGAGAGTCTACATCTTGGGAGAAAATCTTTATCCCCCACATATCAGATAGAGCACTAATCTCTAGGGTATATAAAGAACTCAAAAAGCTAAGCACCAAAAAAAAAAAAAAAACCAAAAAACTAAAAGCAAACAAAACAAAACAAAACAAATAACCCAATCAATAAATGAGCCAAAACCCTGAGCAGACTCTTCTCAGAAGATGATATACAATCAATCAACAAATATATGAAAAAATGTTCATCATCGCTAGTAATTAGAGAAATGCAAATCAAAACCACTCTAAGATTTCATCTCACTCCAGTCAGAATGGCAGCTATTATGAAGACAAACAACAGTAAGTGTTAGTGAGGATGTGGGAAAAAAGGTACACTCATACACTGCTGGTAGGACTGCAAACTGGTGTAGCCAATATGGAAAGCAGTATGGAGATTTCTTGGAAAATTGGGAATAGAACAACCATTTGAACTAGCTATCCCTCTCCTCGTTCTATACCCAAAGGACTTAAAAACAGCACACTATAGGGACACAGCCACATCAATGTTTATAGCAGCACAATTCACAATAGCTAAACTGTGGAACCAACCTAGATGCCCTTCAGTAGATGATTGGGTAAAAAACAAATGTGGCATATATACACAATGGAATATTACTCAGCAATAAAAGAGAATAAAATCATGGCATTTGCAGGTAAATGCATGGATTTAGAGAAGATAATGCTAAGTGACATTAGCCAATCCCCAAAAACCAAATGCTGAATGTTTTCTCTGATATAAGGAGGCTGATTCCTAGTGGGGTAGGGAGGGGGAGCATGTGAGGAATAGATGAACTCTAGATAGGGCAGAGGGGTGGGAGGGAAAGGGAGGGGGAGGGTGTTAGAAATGATGGTGGAATGGGATGGACATTATTATCCAAAGTACATGTATAAAGACACGAATTGGTATGAATATACTTTGTATACAACCAGAGATATGAAAAATTGTGCTTTATTGGTGTAATAAGAATTGTAATGCACTATGCTATCATATATAAATAAAAAATTAATAAAAATTCAAATATTTTTAATTTCTAAAAAGTTTTTATTAGTGCACTATAATTACACATAAGAGTGGAGTTCATTTTGACATAATGATAAATGCATTTAACAGTTTGTTTATTCTCAATCCCTGGTTTTTCCATTCTCTTTAAGAAAAAAAAACTGTGGAATGAAAATTCAAGTTTTTTGAGCATCATTTTGGCACTGAAAAATTTTCAGATTTTTAAGAATTTTTAAATTTTCAAATTAGGGGTGCTTAACCTGTATTAGTTTGACTCATTTGCATTTGAAGACTTTTCAGTGAGCCCTTAAATCAGTTAATCCTAGTACTGGGGGTCTAGCTCAGTAGCAAAGCACTTGACTAGAATGTGCAAGGTCCTGCGTTCAATCCACCCCCCCCCCCACCAGAAAATAAAAAATTAACCAATGGCTTACACATCTATTACTCTAATCACTTGAGATCCACCAAAGACATCCTACCTTTTCTCACAAGGTTGTTCTCTACCAAATGTAAAAGAGTAGTCAACGGTAACCAGCAATCAAAATAGATGATAGGTTTGTTTTCATGCTATTTAGTAAGCTTTTTTACCCAGACTTTTAGTACAGTGATTTATATTTTATAGCTCTAAGAAAATTAAAATGTCTTTGTTCACTTTATAAGCCACATATACAAAGAAACTGCTGCATTCAGATTTGTTGCACTCAGATTTGGTGGTTAATATAATCGGGTTAATATGTTAAAAAGAACTTGACACAAAAATTATTAATGAGTACAACAAGGTCACTACTTCTGAGCTGAGGTCACTTACAAAGAATGCACAAATGAAATTAAGGTTGACTTCTATTTACTTGACTATCTTCTTACATTGGATTCCTTTGGTAACATATCTTTAAACATTTAAAGCTCTGTTTACAGGGAGGCTCTGAAAGAAGCTTCAAACCATTATGCCTCTAATTGAATTCCCCAGGAGTCCAGTAAACTCAGAGGAATAAAGAAAAACCATAACATTTGCTAAATCATCTCAAAACATATTTCATTGCAAGGTTATGTGGCCTGTTTTTTTGAGGTTCAAAGATGAATGAAAAATATTACTGAATACTTCATTATTTAGACTAAAATAAAAAAAGAAGTTTACCTATTAGTGGTAAGCAAATTAAACCAGCCCAGTTTAAACTTTTTTTCTGTCAGATTTCTCCCAAGAGAAATCTGACAGAAAACAATAACAACATTTTATATTTATATGTGACCAGTCTCCCAGACTATGAAAGTTCTCAGGAGGAAGAAAAGGTCTTTAACCAAAGACAATTATTCACAGTGAAGGTATGAGAGAGAGCTGACAGAAATTTTATAGTCCTCAGGGAAAGCAGCATTTTATCTGTGAATTCAGAACTGATAAAATAAGAGAAAATAAAAGTTTTAGCAACTAATTAGTTTATTAAAATGCCCCCTCTTCCCAATTCTAATTTTACTTTAAAATAAGCTTTTATGATCTTTTTTATTCAGAGTTCCCTTGCATGCCCCTGTGTTTGTTGTGACTGCAAAGCAAAAACATGTGGATCTGAGCAATTCCAAAAGAATGTGAAGTCTCTCTCTACTTACCTGGTTTGTATGTTATTCCAGGGGGGAAGAGGAATCCCTGTTGGGCAGCAGCAGCTGCTGCCAGGGTCCGCTGGTCATGTGGAAAAATTGGGATCATGAGCGGAGGCATGTGACCCTGAACCTGCTAAACAGAAGAGAGCCTATGATCAGACAGAGAGCAAATGTATGCCAAGAAGTCTTTGTTTCTCACTCCTGGTGGTGTGCTGGTACCCACACAGCCACCTACCTCTCACTTCATTCCAGATCTTAAAGCTGAGAAAAATTCAGGCAAAATCCACTAAATCTTTTTTATTTTATTATTTTTTTTTAGATTCTGTTAGCATATCAAGGACATAACTTAATTGTAAATTTGCCTCTGTGTTTCACCAGAAGGTGGTTAATGGTTTTCATTTATCCTATTTTGCTTTTATTTTCCTTCTTTTTTTAATAAACAAATAACTAAAAGAAATAAGTTTGCTTCTTTTCTTACACTACAATGTTGAGAGATTTTGCCCTTTCACCTGCTTTGCATTCTTTGCTTTATTTTGAAAAGAGTATTTAGTATCCTTGGTCAGAAAATAATGTCTAATTGTTATATATTCCAAAAGCTGTATCTATCTATCCAATTTAGGTATCTTATTTCAAAGCCTCACTGCATTATATTAAACATATAGCTCTTCAGATTTAAGGCTACTACATCTTGGCTTCCAATTAAACTAATATTCTTTGCCATACACACCTCGATGTAACATATAAATTGCTTGTCTGGCTAAGCAGTTTTACAGCTTTATGCACTACCATGTAGCTCAGTAATTATGGAGTTGTATTCAGAGAGCATTTCATAATAAATCCTACTATATCAAATTTCATTTGACCTCAATAAATGTATCAAAGAGCACAAAAATGCAAAATAGAAAATCTTTACTCTATATCAGTATTTGTATTCCATATAAAGAAAATAAGAGCTATGACAGAATCATGCTTGTTGAAATTACATTTTAATTTCCTAGTTTCCTTCTCTACTCTATGCATGCTGCCCTGATTCCAGGATAGCACAACAGGAAGGTTTTATCCTGGCTTTGGGGACATGATTTTAGGTTGGACTATAGGACATTTCTCATTTAAAGATCAAAACTGTAATGTACCAAAAGAAGTGATCTGTTAGCTCAAACACGGTCTTTGGCCTCTTTACTAGAAAAGGGCTGCACTTTATCTTAAGAAATAAACCTTTACCAGTAATTCAACCAGTCCCAAACCCTTCCCCTGTCTAAATTCCTAAATCTTCTCTTTAGGCAAAATTCCATATACTGGTTGATGACCCTGCTTAAATAGCACTGACTTGCCGTGTCCTGTCCCTGTTCCCTCCACAACCAGGAACATAGTGCAAAAATATGTGGGTCTAAGAGGTTTCATTTACCAACAGTTTTTCTCTAGGGGAAGCCCTAAGATGTGGGTTAATAAAGGGCAAGCAAAAAATAAACACTTTACAGTATTTTTCTGAATTCATTTCTCAGGAAAATCAACTTATAATAAAAAGGTCTTTGTGCAATTACTACCTTGCCAGTGGGGCGTGAAAGAAACTAGCTTTGAGCAGCTATTTCTTACATTTTAGCTGAGGTAAGCCCAAGTTTTGTACATAAGAGTACAAACTTAACCTGCTTAAATTGAAGCTGATCCCCTAGTGTCCAGGTCTTGCCTTTAACCCTGAAGAAATGCACTCAACTTGCTGTTCAATTCCAGTTTGTTGTAACCTAATATAAACCTGAAATGTGAGAGATGAATGCACTGTTTTATGCCAGAAAACAAACATGGTATGTTTGTGGGTGACCATCATTCAGTACAAGAATACATCAGAGGAAATCATTTCATTCTCCTCTAGAAATATAGTTTTAGCACATACCTAGAACATAGGGCAGGTGCCTTGTGCTATAGAGAAGAGAAGCAAGAAATATGAGCATCATCTCTGTTTATTCTTTCCTTCTTTCATTTAATGAACATTTACTAAGTTGTTACATTAACTATTAGGAGTTTTGAGAAATAGCTGAAGAAATTGGGGATACTTGTGACAGAAATGATATCAGATTATTTTTAAATATCTGAAGAAATGATGTGTGGAAGAAGGATCAGATTAAGACTACATGATTACCAAGGACAGAACTAGGTTCAAATGGAAGATATTTGGGGAAAGTTTAATACAAAGAAGAATTTTCTACTAATAAATTATTCAAGAATTTTTAGTGCTATTCATTAAACAGCGTCTTAGAATGAAATTTTTTCTTCACATTTTCACTTTGATTACCCAAGTTCTTGAGATGACAAGAGAGTATAAGGGGGTAAATGACAATTATGAACCAAACTTCAACTGTCTATGTCCATGAGATAACTAAGTAAATTATCTATGGTCATTTTAATGCCAAAGAATTGTAAATGTTTTATATTAACATAAACTGGAAGAATTTACGGAGGTTACTTTCTGTCCATCACACTTTACAAACTAGGATATGTTAAAAACGTATGCTATTATCCAGAGGCTATTTCAATAAGTTGAGAGACACAGTTAAAAAGGAGAGAGACAGGAGACAACTAGAAAGCAACAGTAATGACAGAATCATAGAATAGGAATAGAACTTAAGAGATGATCTAAAAATACAAAAACAACAACAACCAAATAACCCAATCTATAAATGATCTAAGGAACTGAACAGACACTTCACAGAAGAAGAAATACAATTGATCAACAAATAAATAAAAAAGTGTTCAACATCTATAGCAATTAAATAAATGCAAATCAAAACTACTCTAAGATTTCATCTCACTCCTGTCAGAATGGCAATCATCAAGAACACAGACAAAATATTGGTGAGGATGTGGTGAAAAAGGTATGTACACTCATACATTGCTGGTGGGACTGCAAATTGGTGCAACCACTATGGAAAGCAGTATGGAGATTCTTTGGAAAATTGGGAATGGAACAACCATTTGACCCAATTATCCCACTCCTTGGTTTATATCCAAAGGACTTAAAATCAGCACACTACAGGGACACAGCCACATCAATGTTTATAGCGGCTCAATTCACAATAGCTAGACTAGGAAATCAACCTAGGTGTCCCTCAATAGATGAATGGATAAAGAAAACGTGGTATATATACTCAATGGAATATTACTCAGTTTTAAATAACAGTTAAATTATGACATTTGCCAGTAAATAGTTTGGAGAATATCATGCTAAGCAAAATAAGCCAATCCCATAAAACCAAAGGCCAAATGTTTTCTATAATATATGGATGCTAGATCACAAAAGGCGGGGGGCACTAAGGAAGAACAGTGTTACCTTAGATTAGGTAGAGGGAAGTGATGGGAGGGGAGGGGAGAGGAAGGCATGTGGGGATAGGAAAGATAGTAGAATGAAACAGACATTATTACTGTATGTATATATGTGACTACATGACCAATATGATTCTGCATCATGTACACTCAGAAAAATGAGAAATTATATCCCATCTATATATGATATATCAAAGTGCATAAATGCATTCTACTGTCATGTATAACTAATTAAAACAAATTAAAAAAATTTTTTAAAAAGATGATCCAACCTTATAGTTCTCAAAGTGTAGTACCTAAAGACCAACATTGGCAACTATGGTACATTTTTAAAAAGCAAATTATCAGGCTCCACATCATACCCATTTAATCAGAAACTCCAAAAGTGGGTCCACTAATCCAAATTTTTAACTAAAGCTTTATTAAGAGCAGTGATTCTCAAATTTCAGTGGACATTGGAATCAACTGCTGAGCTTGTAAAACAACAAAAACAAAACCCAAACAAAACCCACAAGTGTTTGGCCCCACCCTCAGGGACTCTGAATCAGCAAATCTAAAGTGAGGCCCTAGAGTGTACATCTGCATTTCTAACAAGTTTCCAATTGAAGTTGGTGCTGCTGGCCCAGGGACCATTCTTTGAGAATCACTAATCTACTCCACATTTAACAAAACATAAATATGGAAGTAGATGGCTAGAAAAGATAAAAAAAAGTATAAGCTAAGGCTACACATCCTATGACAAAGCTGATCTATAGTTCAAAATTGCTAATCACCCTATCAGTGCTTTACCCATCATATAACATGGACTTCAGTGATTGAAAAGAATAAATCACTTGTATACACTGTTTCAGCAGAGAAAATCTGGAGATAACCAGTAATTTTATATCAGAGGTGTATTGTTGTAGGCAGTTATGGGGTTGAATGTTGTCCAATTAAAAAAAAAAAGTCCTTCCTCTCTCTTATTTTTACCCAGAACACACTTGTTCTCAATATTTATTGCCATTAATTCTAATTGTTTATTACAATATATTCATTAGTAATGATCATTTAGTTTTAAATGATAAAATTGTCCCTAACTTATTTTAAATAAAACAATATTGTGAAAAGTCAAAGTGCCCTTTATTAAAGACAACAGAATATCTAGCAACTAGTTAGCCTGAGAAAAGATGATGAAAAACTCCTCTTTTAACTCTAATTATGGATGTATTAATATTGATGATGGAGATAATAAAAACAACCACAGCAGCTAAGACTTTTCAGTGTTTCCTATATGTTCATCACTAGTAAAGTGATTTATAAAGTCCTATCTATTAAAATAGGCATATTTACTGAGAAATAAAAAATTCATTTAAGGAGAAAGAGAAAAACCATAAGAGGTTAAGTAACTTCATCAACTAAAAAGTGTTGGATCCAGGATTTAAGTCCACATCAAAGTCAAGGTCAAAATTTGCATTTTTTTCTGAAAAGTTTATACATATAAATACCATATTATATGAAACATGAAGTCATCTTTTGCTAAACAGATTTAAATGAGGTGAGGAGGGACTGGGGTTGTGGCTCAGTGGCAGAGCGCTTGCCTCACACGTATGAGGTCCTGGATTTGATCCTCAGCACCACATATATATAAACAAATAAAATAAAGATATTGTGTCCATCTACAACTAAAAATATTTTTTAAAAAAATTAAATGAGGTGAGGAAAGCAATTCTTTGTGATAACTGACAGATTTATAAATATAATTGTAGAGTATATTAAACAATACAGTGAAATCATATGCACTCTTAACCCAGTTATCTCCAATGGTAGCATCATGCAAAA